AACGGGGCTATTTAGTCGCGTAACCGATCGGTGAGCACACAGAACCGTTAGTAGACCGGTCAACCAAGGCAGTCTCAAAAACGGAACCGTGGCCCATCACAGTAGTTCAACTGTCTAAGGATATCATGGAAACTGTAAAAAGAACTCGGACAGGGGGAGACCACATCTGAACCAGATTTTCCATCTAGATAAGCATATGTAAAAAAAACGTACTGATGAGGAGACTAGGAGCCACAGAGGCCTGTGTCGAATCAAAGGCGATCCACTTGTAGATAATTGTAATGGAGAGGTAACCAAAAATGCAGGATAAGAAAAGCACTTGTGGTATGAATTCACAGTAGATAGCCAGGGGATCATTGAAGAATCTGAAATTAAACCCAGACAGAGGACTAATGAAGAGGCACAAAAAATGACACGGAAGTGAGAAACGTGGTTTTTAAGGTGGGTTTTTTTTTAATTCAAATTTGTAAGGATGACTTATATGGCCCCCTAAACAGGACACGGGAATAGGAACGCCTCAGGAACGCAAAGCCACCTATACTTCGCGCGGTTATTTTTTCTCATGTTCTATTTCGGAGGGCATGTAGCTCATCCTCGCCTTCAAATTTAAATCCAGAGCAGTAGTTTTAGCATTTTAGGCGTTATAATACCTCTCGAGAACATAAACGTATAGGAAAGGTACGGAGGCAAGACCCAATTTAGTGACAAGGCATGCTGGTTCAGACTTTAATCCTAAACTACACCTCAGCGAACGAAAAAAATTGCACGTGTGCATTGCCACGGGAGAACTCACACCGCGTCACGCGCGTACAAACTAAAACGGTAATTTGTCCCACGTGCTCGACAAGAACTACCAGCGGTGCGCGAAAAGAGCAGAGAGAATACGCACCTGATGTCGGGTTACACTGAGGCAGACTTTCGAAGCACCGGTCCCAGTGTGCCTTATCATACTTATCGTCTTACAACGGCACGAAGACTAAAAAGGAGTGAGGACTTGACATAAAGTCCCCACCCACGCATATACAGTACACAGCCCCCCAACTGACACAACCGCTATTTTACTTAGCCGGGCTTTACATCGATGCGAGTTCGCGTAAGGCCGCATAAACACGAAACCACTGTTGCCACGAAGCTGACTCTGTGAGACTTTTCTGGCAGCAGGCCAATTGCTCTTATTCGTGGCTGTACTTACGCAGTTGAGGACAAACATTCCAGTTTGCAAGACAGTATTCAAAAGTGACAGGGCGTTCATTGTCGAAGACAGGGAGCGCACAAGGCCCTGAAGTTTATTGTTGCTGTCACCCATCACTGGTAATTATCACCGCGTCGTACAACGGCAAAAAAGCAGTCATGCAGGAATGTCTCCGGAACCGCAGGGGGAAAGGGTCCACCTGAAATTTCACCAATCAGCAGCGCGCCTCGCAGGACGCCCAATAAATGCCTACGGCGAGTAACCGATCTCATGTAATGTTAACCAAAATTTTAAAACACGTTTTATTTTATAAATGATTACTTAAGTGGACTTGTAATATCATACATGAGTAGCACACATTCCTATATGTCGTTAAAAAGAAAACATGATGTTGATACCATACGCTTAATATATACAGTCAGTGACCGATCGCATGTAGTGTTAACCGCAATTTTAAAATGTGTTCTAGTTTGAGAACGACCAATTCAATTGAACTGCAATATTAATTATATTAGAGTATAATTCACAGGTATTTCAGACACACCAGTGTGTCTGCGTTTGAACAAACGTCTTTTCGTCCTTTCAGAGGAATAAATCCTCGATAAAAATGACTTCTTAAGTAGTGTGAATTTGGTTCTGGGAATTTCCGATGTCCTTAGAAATGCAAAAATCTTTTGTTAGAAAAATAGGCAAAAAAGATTCTTTCTTGTACTCACTTAATAGCAATTTGCGTCTTTAAATTTTACATTCAAAGAATGGGTATAAGTAGGAAAAAAAAACGCATTCCAACTTATCGTTGCATTTGTATTTAGGTTTTTCTGTCTACAAGTTAGATGCCTTCCGTGGAAGAAATATCATACATTTCTGTACGTCATTAAAGAAGATAACATACGGCTTTGATACAATTTTGTAATGGATGTGGACTATACCGTATACTTCCTGACAGTCATTATTAAACGTACAAATACGCTGCGATTTGATTTGTGGAGCACACAGTGGACCTCGTCGAAAACAACGGCCGAACCGTCTGTGGAAAGGCAGCTGGCTAGTGCTTGTGAATGAGCGTGCGACAATGGAAGTGGCAGATTCAGCTTTAGTGCCCACTTGCTAGACTATATACAGATGATGCTCAGGATAAAGAGGCAACGCGAGGAGACTTACCGGTGATTGAAAGCGCCCAAAGAAACACCGAACAACATATGTAGCACGCCGATTATTATGGACATCTTCATTTTCAGGGAATTTGAGAACATTATCATATTGCCGGACACCTGCCACACGGGGTCGACGCCAAAGGGATACGGGTATCCTGAAAACATTCCTGTCGCGTTCGTGATAGGCAAGGGATTAAGTTGTAGACTCGGATTGAGCACAAGGGTCTTGTTGTCATAGCGTGGATGCCACCTGGAGCCGAATATATTAGCTGACTTGGAAAAGATATCATTGTATATCATGCCAGTGTAGATGGAGAAAGCCCCCATGAGCAGGATGATGTAACGGCCGCCAAAGAAGGTATTCCATAATTCGTCTTTGATTTTCTTAGCCTAAGTAGTACAAAATATGCAAGCTCAAGCAAAAAGATCACACTTCATGGAAAGTTAAAGGGAAGTGAAGATGAGGCACTCGTAGATTAAAAGACAAATAAATGGCAAGCAACCGCCAATCGGTAGCTATCCCTGAAGAGTAGCGAAATTTGTAGAGGTAGTCAAAAGAGAACGGATAAGGAACAGTTTAACAGATATAACTAAGGAGAAAATTGTTCAAGTAAAATTGGAAAGTATGCACAGTTTCTGCCCTCAGAAGACTGAGCAGAAATACCCGTTATGAAGATGCTAAATGGATATTCAGTTCGAATCGTTCACAGGGCAAAGCGAACTGGTCGTTTAGGTAGCAGCAATTTTAAGCGACCACGACTTTTAGGAGTTGGGTAGAACAGCTGACTTTACTGTATCAAAAGACTACGAGGGAAATAGAGGAAATTAGAATGACTGGGTTCCGGGAGCAAGTTATCAACGGGAAGAACAAATCGATTTGCGGCATACGCATCCGGAATAAGTGGACTTAGAACACGAGGATGTCATTGGAAACTTAACCAGAAGGTGGACAACTAAGGCGAACTGAACAACAATATTTCGTTAGGATCGGGAGAACAGTGTTCTAAAAGCGTCGATCCTAAAATGGCGTATTACCAAAAGGGCGAGTAGGTAAATGAACAAACTTGGTTCCAACAAAGTTTAAATTGACCGTCTAGCGGGAAGATCCCGATCGGCTTTGTACTGACACTAGCAGCTTAGAATTAGGCATATTCTAAAATTCGGTGAGTGTTCTTTGCGATTTCATAAGGCTAAACTGTTAATAACGGTATCAATAACCCAAGTTGTTAGATGTTACAACTGTATTAATTTTTGTAACACTGCTGTTTCAGAGAGAAAAACGAGGCCAGTAATTTTTGAATGGACCGCAGTAAATACAAAAGATAAGGTACAGAAAACCACCAACTGCGTTTACAGGCGTCTCTGAAAGCATATGAAGTGAACCCATAAAAGTGGAGTTTGTAATTTCTTAGCCTGTAACTTACTATTTATACATGAACCGGTTAAATGGGCCGGTCAATTATTAAGGTAAATGTTGAATAACGGAAACAGTTTTGCTTAGTTAGACCAGGAATGTGATGGTTGGGTGACCATAGGTTCCACTAAGTGAGCTCTTTAGGTCATACGGGCATTTGCATTGCGCTAATTAGTCAACCATAAGAGCAAGCAAGAATACGAAAGGTAAAATGCTGATGCAGACAAACTATACATCGATGATTTACTAGAGTTCATGGTCTCCTGGTTAACACTGATCGGGCTGCTCACACTTCAAATCATTGAGGGAGATGTCTGAGTGGATCACAA